TATATATATATATATATATAAGGTTACATAGGCATGGAACTTGACACCTAGTCTTATGAAAACCCCAGCTACCACCGCCTTGACCCAAGCCCGATTTCTATCTTTGATGCAAATATTCTCCTTGTTAATTGTGCATCCCTGTTAGAATTAAATCAATAAATGTTGGTTTTAAGAGTAGTGCTCCGGGAATTTCTCAATTACCTTGATAGTATCACTTTCTAAGCTTAAGATCGATATGTGAGCTACATGGTTATTTGAATGGTGGTGGCCTTATGTCTATAGATCATAGTCATGAAGATTATTGTATACTTCTTAATAGTATATAAATATCTATAAATGTTGGTACAAGTTGAAGGATTATTCAAAAACATTGATTACCAAAATTCGTTCTTAAATTTTTTATTAAATTTTGGCGAGTTTTGTTGGGTGGACTTTGTTCTGTTCAACATTCTTCCATTTCCTTTAAAGGTTTGGTTGATCAACTGGATGAGTTTTGCTCCATTCCTCCAAATTTTGGTCATAATTTTTAATTTTGAGGTCTAAATCTTCATGAGTTACACTGATCTTGAAATAATCTGTGGGCTATTATTCTTGCGAAGGTTTGGGATGGGAGAGCACAAAGGTGGAGAAATAGTGGCCTAGCACCACTTGGGTTTCAGGGACAGCCATAAACACACAGGCACACATATGAGGTGCAAGGGGAGGTTGAGAATAGTTGATTTGGTCTTGTGGAGAGTGGATAGAACTTAGAAGTTCAGTAAGGATTCAGTGATGGAAGGTTATGCAAACATCAAAGCTTTGTGCAGCCTTGAAAGAGGGTTTATGTAAAATATTTTATTTAGTTTATGAACAAATTTCACTGCTCTGCATAATGAATTTGTTTCTTAGTTTTACAGCCTATCATTAATTTTCATACTTCTACATCCCTATGATTGGTCTTCCTTTACAATAACGAATTTATTATTTATGTGCTAGTTCTGACCATAGTTAGTGCTTGTTTTTAGTCATGTTGTTACCATCTAATTATGACATTTTGGATGTACTTTAGGATTTTTGTCTGGCCTTGATTCTGTATGCTTGGGGTTTCTCTCTCTCTCTCTCCTCCCCCCCTTTCAGAAGTGTCCATCTCAAGTGTTTCTAATTTTCCCTTCCTCTTTTGATGTCTTCATAGATGCAAAACCATTCTTCAGCCTGGTTTTAACTGCACTGTTCGAGTAGAAAGAAATAGAAGCAAAAAGCGCCGTGCCAAGCCTGGCTCTGCCCCACAAAACAATGTCATATACATTTGTTCTTTTTGCTTCTACAGGAACATAAGAAGAGGAACGCCTCGGGGTCACGTGAAGGCACTTTTTGCCCAAAGACCTGATCTTGAGGTAGGAAGAGAAGGAGAAGAAGAAATCGAGGGTGGGATACCCAATCATGAGATAGAAAGAGAAATGGGTACTGAAAACCCAATAGAAAAATATGGACGGATATTGAAAACAGATGATAATATTGTCAATTTGGTGGGAAATGACAAATACATGCAAGAGAGCAAAAGAGAATCCAGCAACGCAAAACAAAATCAAGAGAGAGTAAAAGAGCCCAGCACTGGAGAACCACAGCAAAACCCTGTCAAAAAAGCTGGCACGAAACCGATAACAGATGGGAAATCTGGCTTTGTAGAGAGAGCTGAGGCCATTATCGACTCTCCCATGTTAAAGACCATGGCAACTCCATTAGGAAAACCAGTTTGTGTTTCCTCAATGGAGAGTGGGTCTGGATCGAATGCTTCGACTGGAAATTCACGGAAGCGGAGGAGGAAATCATGGTCAAGTCTGAAAGAGCTAGCAACCGCTGGCAAGGCAATTCCATTTATGGGATGAGATAGATGGCTTGTCGAGTTTTGTTTTATTTTGTGAAATAATTTATTGCTTTTTGATGGAATGAGGATTTCTATTGAGTTTGTTTTAGTTGTTAGGGCATGTTGTTCTTAACATCCACCTGATCAAATATTTTTCCCCTTTTCTGTTTTACACTTTCATCTTATTGACTTACTGTTGTTTGTGTATCAATTTCAAAGAGGAAGTTGGGGAGTTGAGATTTTATAATTGACTGGTGATGCTTTCCCATAAAAGAAAGCAAATGAGTAATTCAACAATTCTTTTTATGATCCCCAAATTCTATCTTCAGTTTCCTGTTGGAATCTTGAACCATTTTGGTTCAACTTTAATTGTAATTTTCTTTCTTATATGATTCTGAATGAAATAAACAATAACTTCAATGGCAGGGATTTTGATCCGAGGGTGCACCGAATTCTCCATTCAAGAGCCTTTTTATTTTGAAAATATTCATCTGAATCTAATCCCAAAATTTCCGTTTCAGAAAATCGTTGCAAGTGGGTCGTTTGCAAGGATTGAATGAACTTGGTTCGCACTGGCGTATAATATTACTACTTGATACTACCGAGATTATATGGTCCACAGTTGCTTCTTGGAGTGAAACTCGAAGTATTTTTAGGACTTTAAATATCGGAGATGTGATGCGACCGTATCACCGAAGGTATGGTTCTTAATAAAGCAGATCGACAGATTAGTATTCATGTTTTCCAAATTTGGTATGGTTTTAATAGAGTAGAATGACAAACTAGTATTCTTGTTTTTCAAATTATTGGGAAAATGTTTTGAGGATGATGATGTTGATGATGATACGACTGGACCAATCTAAAAAGAAACAATTGGAATAAGTATTTTACTTGAAAAAATCACGCCCTAGGATGTTAGATAAAATGTCAAATTTTGCAGTGATCGTTCACCAAACCGGTTAGTAGTTTAGTCTAATCAAAACCGATCTAACTTAAAAACTCTAAAGCGGATCCCATAGTTAAAGTTTTAATCTTCCCAAAATATTATTATAGATGTTTGTTTTTATGGTAAGCCAAATAAAATAAAAAATATTTTGAACAAAAAGGCTGACCAAACTACCATTAAATTGTTTTAGGGGTATCTTGCTTTAAAATATTTTTTATTACTTTTATTTTATGCATTATATAAAATACATCTATATCCCAAATTCTATATAATTATTATTTTAAAATAAAAATAAAATATGAAACTCTTTTTGGACACCCGGATAATACTAGGTTCAATCTCAGAACCCTTCAACCGTTCATATCATGTGGACGCTATATTGTCCTTGCTATGTTTTTTTGGCATAAGAATTTCATGGTTAACAATAAAATTATATTATAGAAATATATGCGATAAAACTAATTATTTTTTATACAAAAACTTCACAAATCATCATTGTCTATAGTCGGGGTTATTTTATTAGTTAGGCACAAAGTCCAAAATATTTTTTTAGAAAAATTATGACGCATTTTAATAATTAGGAGATTAATACTAATTGTGACCTTGTATAAAAAATGAATAGCACAGATTAATCCACATTTGCATGCTTATTTTGATCGAGATTACCCTTGAAAAATTTTAATATCTAAAGAGTGGCAAGACATAGAATTCAAAATAAATATATTTGAGAGAATTTAGGTGTGACACCAATAAATGATAAGATGAAAAGAAGTAGACTTAGGTGGCTAGCCATATGTAAAGTAGACTTACGAGTCTTAAGATGTGAATTACTTCAAGTGGAAAGCGAATAAAGACATAGGGATAGGCTCAAAAGAGCATGATTGAAAGTAACGAGAAATAAAACATGATTGAAAGTAATGAGAAATAGATAGGACCTCAGCCTTTAATTGAGTAGAACCTCGTGTAGGATCCAATCCATTGAGAAAAGGCTTTGATAACGATGAATGACGATCAAAATGATTATTTGAGGGTAGATTTAAACTGTTAGAAAATTGTTTCATGCTGCGGGGACCACATTTCTACATTTGCATCCTTGAGGTATAAAGCATCCATCTAAAGATGGACGTAAATAGGTGGTCCATCTAAAAACAATTGAAACTATCGGTCTAAATGTTTTTTGAATAGAATTATTATTTTTAATTTTTAAAATTTATTTATTTTTTCATTGTCATGATCTCCATGTTATAAATTACATTTCTTTAAAAATTAAGTCCCAAAATCTGTCTCAAAAATAGCTTTTTAAGATGCGACTCATTTCTACATGGACTCATATAAACGGTGTCATGAATTGATGGATATGGTTTCTATGTAGAAAGCGTGCATATTGTAGAAATACGGGCTGGGCAATAAATATAATCTGATCTTAATTTTAGAGAATATATAATCTTTAACGTGGAGATCATGAATATGATTTTTTTTTGAAAACTAAAAATAATAATTATATTAAAAAGACATTTGGGTCATTAGTTACACTTGTTTTTAGATGGACCACCCATTTGCATCCATCTTTAAAATGGATGATCCATACACCTGGACCGCATATTGTAGAAATACAGTCCAGGGCGCATGAAACAGTTTTCCTAAACAGACATTCCAACTTTTTTTCTTTTCCTCGGGCATTGATATCTGCTGAGCAGGTCAAGAGGGTAGATTTCTTTTACTTTCTAGGTTTGGGTTGCACTCGAATTCATCGAAGAAAACAGTGAGCCCACTCTCTCTCTCTCGCTCTCGCTCTCTTCGAATTTTATTGTGCGGATTGTTCTGGATGTCTGCTGATACTTTTCCATGCGGGATTAGACCGAATCTGTATTCTATTTATAATTTTTGTGCTCTTTTTGATGAATATCATATATTTGGGGCTATTTTTTAATATCGTACTCGTTGGTTTTCTCTTTGATGCATATCATATGTTTTTGGGCTTTTAGCTAATGATGTGAAGATGAAAATCAATTCTCCTGAATCTTAAACTTGACTGGTTCTCTTAGTTACTTTCAGAATTTGCCTTTTCATTTTTGTCCTGGTTTCTGCCCATGAAATTGAAGGTCAAACTCAAATTTGATGGGAAAACAGATTTCAGATATTATTCCTGGAAATTCAATACTATTAGTACGATTGGTTTGCTTGCCTTCATTTTGAATAGAGGGGGAGAGGGAGAGATTGAATCTGCATTGAAGAATTTCAGTCTCTATTTTCCATTGATCATTTATACACAAATTATTGGGAATTCAGGATAATGGGAAAAATATTGTATTTGAAAATGCAGATCTTTTCTCGGAAGCTTTAAAGGCATGATAGGATTCATTTTTTTGCGGCATTGTTATAAGAAATATGTTCCTTTCTCCATCTCATTCTTCTTGTGTGTTTTGGAATTTGATATTTCTATAATTTGAACCAAAGGAGGAAGGATATTTCATTGGAAAAAATTTCTTCACAAAGATATGAAGTTATGAGTTATGTTGGATTTTGTGTTTGGGAACCAAAACTCTACCAAGTAAGCTAGAAATGAGGAGATCATTATAAATGTATGCCACTTTTATATGTTGATTCTTGCTAATTGTAGGTTACAATAGGGAATTTATTATTCAAAGGGTTTCTTAGTAATATAATGAAACCTCTTCTTCAATAAAACCATATATATAAATGAATTTCTATAACCCCAAGTTTTGAACACACAATATCTTCATTCCAATGATAGGGAAAAAATTGACTTTCTAGCCTAGAAAAGGTCCAAATGAAGCATGTGGACATTTAGATGCGAACCTATAATAGATCAAAATCATTTTTTTTTCTTTTATTTTTATTCTTAAAATTGTTCATTAAAGGATGTTGAGGTCATGTATAAAATTAGGGGCAAAAAAAGAAAAGAATCCCTTAGTCTAGATCTAACTGTTCTATCAAATGGACCGTCTGCATTTATTGCCTTAAAAAGAATCCATTTTTTGTGGGGCATTTTGAAGTTTTTAGATTGTTCATTAGATTGTAAAGAGCGCATCTTAAAAAAAATCCATTTTTTCTTTGCCTAACATGGTTTTTGAAGGAGAAGTTTCAGTTATTAGGGAAAACTGTCATGAAGTCACTCCCCTTGCTATACGTTGATATTTTTAAATTTCTTGTTGAAATCAGGTTGATCATGGATGAAAATGCTATGAACAGTCTGAAGAAAATGTCTCCTTGTGATGTTGAAGCTTTAAAGAAATGCTTGGAGGAAAATCATGGGGATCGTCTAAAATGCCAGTCACAAATTGAAGCATTTAGATCTTCCTGTTCTTTGGCCAAACTGTCTACTCAGACCCAAACAATCCCCCAATCTGAGCTATCATAAATTTTTTGTATATGGTTTTTGTGTAGATTGTGTTTAAAATTTGACTTATT